CGAGCAGCTCCCTGGGGGCTTCACGGGGGCCGGGCACAAGCCGCGCCCCCCGGAGGGGGAGGCGGCCGAGCACCGAGGCCTCTTGTCCGGGGAGGCAGAAGGCCCACACAGGAGGAAGAGCAAGAAGAAGCCGCCGAAGAGCAGCGGGGAGACGGAAGAGCGGCCGGACCCTGATTCACGGGGCCGACAGCCCGAACCGGGGCCTCGCTTGCAGGAGGGGACGGAGCCCGGGGCAGGAGGGGGCGATCACGCAGGGGAGCCAGGCCCGGGCGGATGCAGGCCGAAGCGGCGGCGGCGGCGGCATCAGCAGGAGGCGGCGGCAGAGGGGCTGCAGGATGTCGCCACAGTCGAGGACACGGGGGGCCTTGCCTGGCTGGGGGGCTTTCCAGAAGTGAGGCTGGGGTCAGCCAAAGAGGAACCTGGTGAGGAACTCCCCAGCTGCAAGAAGAAGAAGAAGAAGAAAAAGAAGAGAAAGGTGGAGAAGGGGGACAAGGCGCCCCTGCAGGAACAGGGGGCAGAAACGCAGTTCCTGGGGTCCAGCTCGGTTGTGGTGGACCAGGATGCCCCTGGAGTCCCTCTGTGGCAAGAGGTGGGGCTGGAAGAGCTGCTGCAACTTAATGGGGTGGCCCCGAACCAAAAACCCAAAAAGAAGAGGAGGAAGGGGGAGGGGAAGAAAGAGGACTGGGCTGGACTCTCCTCCACAGCAGGAACTTAACAGATGGGGATGGCAGCAGCGCCTGTGGCATCTTAGGGTTGTGGGAACAGCTCTGTTCCTGCCATGGCCAGGGGGCAGCCCCCCACGAATCCCCATCCATTTGGCAGCTTTGGCCTAGTGGATCATAAGGCAGGGTGGCAGAGGCTGCAAGCTTGGCTTTGGGGCCCACCTTTGCTGATCACCTGCCACATTTTTATTTGTGCTCTGTCTGCATTTCCAAATAAAATTCAGGAACTCTGCACGCCAGTGTTTCTCTCAAGGCTTGGCTTTCTCTGCTAATTTCTCCCCTTAAAAACAAGCAGCTGCATCGTTTTTTCCCACTTGATGTTTTATTGCCCACGTGCCTGTATTGTGAAGTGACGAATCACATAGCAAAATAAGGCTTCATTTATCCTCTGAGAGAGCTGTGTTGCACGGCTTCCAGAAGGGTTGAGGGAAGAAGGTGATTCGATGCTGGCAGTCCTCACAAACATTTGCACGTGAGTGTCTGCACACCATCTTTTGTCCCTTGTCTTCTACTCTTGGAGGCCCCTCCTCACTTGGGTGCTTTCAGAAATGGTTCATGAAGGATGTCAAAGAGCCTCTTAGCCTAGAAAGAAAAGTACAAGTGAAAATTGGAGGCAGGTGCATTTGGGAGATGTCCAGATGCCTTGTGAAGTCCAAACTCCAAAAGCCTAGCCTGTTTTCCCCTTTATAAAATTCCAGGTGTTTATCTTATTTATTATTAAATTTATATGCCACCCATCTCCCCCAGAGGGTGACTCTGGCTGTTCCCATTGAAAGCCTTTTCAGACTGACTGCAAATTCTTCCTGTGGCAGGCATCCTCCAGACACAGAGACTCAAACTGCAAGATTGTCCAGCAATATCACGGCTGGACTACCATTGTGTTTGGCTCCCCGAACTGAAATGGCCACATCTCAGTTGCTCTCCCGTCTCTGGAAGCCACCCATCTCCCGTCTAAGCCACCCATCTCCCCCAATGGGGGAACTCTGGGCGATTCACAATAAACATTAGAACATAAAATATATAAACACATAAAACCTTAAATTAAAACATTACTAAGGAGGAGGAGGAGGAGGAGAGACCAAGAGAACCAAGAGACTTGGTTCTCCTTAGGTTAGAAAATGGGAGCCCCTAGTTATGAAAGATGGGAAAGTGTTCTCTTCCGTTGTGCCAGCTGATGGATTAAAGGGCTTGGGGCAACCGCCTGCACTCACCTTTTGAGGCCCAATTCCAGGGCACAGGGAAAGGTCCTCCTTGGAAGCCTGGACAATGCTGGCTAGTGACTGCAAAGTAACAACAGAGGGTCTTACAATTAAGGACAGCCAGGAAAGTGGGATGGTTTGAGTGCATTAGCAAGCATCAGGCCTATCCAAAACCAGGTGATGCCCTCAAGCAGAGAAGAAACCCACCCCTTCTGGGAGTCAAGGAGAAAGCTTGACAGCAAAGGACAAGAGGGGGTCCTTAAAATACAGTCACTGGTCTGAGATGGGCAGCTATATAAATTGAATAAAAATAAATAAACAAATAAATATTGCTGAACCACAAGTCCCATCCCTCCCCCTTTTGCCACACTGGTTAGGGCTGATGGGAATTGGAGTAAAACAGCTTCTGGGAGGCCACAGACGACCCCTTCCGGCTTGTACGTTACAGGGAAACATTGCTGTCAAAGCACTGAATCCGTATTTGCCCAACCGCAGCACAGAGAAATGGCTCACTCCAAACGTGGACAGCAGGCTCAGTGCATCCGTTCTGTTCACGGACTTCACGCTAGTCAGACAGTCGGTCACCTGGGAGAGACAAAGCAGCTGCAGCACCAGGCCATGTTTTGCAGAAACTGGCTTGTTGCTTAAGAAAAATCTTGGGGGGTAGGGGGTAGCTATGCAAGGCAACGCAGCTTCTAGCCAGCACGCAGGGCTGGGAAGGTTCCTAGAGTGTCCTGGGCAGCCTCTGCCCCTCTTTGCTGAACAGCCAGTGGGAAAAGGCCATACCCGTGAGAGGTAGTCCTGCTCCACTTTCTCCTTCAGCAGATCAGCTGGCTTCTGCTCATAGGCCTTGTATGTCTCCAAGTAGCGGCCGGCTTCCTCTGGGCTAAGGGTGGGGGACAGGGGCCAGGATCAGAAAACCACTGTAAAAAGTCAGGAGATCTACCTCTGTACCCTGCATTTATAAGGGTGGTTTTTCTTGGAGAAAGTCTAGCCATGGCTTTATATGTGAGCTTGCCTTAAGGAAAATTTAAAGCAGAAACTTGATTTCTAGAGCTTCCCCCTTGCAGGAGACTTCCATAACCAGGTCTCTCCCACCCAGCCCAGCGTCGGGTCTTACCTCCAAGCCAGGATGAGAGTGCAGTCAGCAAGGATGCAGATCTTGGCCAGCTCCTTGACTGCCTGGTGGGGGTCTTTCTGAAGGAAATGAGAAAGTAATTGGCAACTAAGGCAGCCAGGCTTGGAAGGTGGGGCATTCCTCAGAATGACGAGGCAGGGAATGCAGAAAGGGACAGTGTGCCTTCAGGATGGCCCAGAGCAAAGGATCATGCTTCCCAGCATCTCTCCATGCAATGCCCCCCTCCGCATTCCATCCCAGCAGTTGCTATCTACTGAATTCTCAGCAGTCACAGAGAATGAGCAGAAGAGTCATGCTCCTGACTTTGTTAGTGGACCACTGGCTAAGAAACGAACACGGGGTCAAGGAAATGCGCAGAATTGGTCGCTCAAGGCAGGAAGGAAGTGAAGTTGTCTTGGGGGGGAGCTGTGTCTCACCACATCAACTTGAAGCAGGAGCACGCGCAGCAGATACGTCTTCCCCAAGTTGCGCAGCCGCTCATGGATGTAACTGGGATTCAGGTTGTGGTACCGGAGGCTACAAGGGGAAAAGTCAGAACAGAGTTTGCCCTTTTCAAAGTGAAAACAGCCATAAGATTTGGGTTTACCAAACTTCAAGGCGCAAATATTGAAACTTAAATGGCTGCAATGATGATTGAAAAAAATGACCTGATTCCTGTCTCCATTGGATTTTGCGGTATGAAGTGCAAATCTTTTATATCGCAATATGGCTAAAACAGGATATTGCCTTTCAGGCTGCAAACTGCATTAGCCCTCATCATGGAACGTGTAGAAACAATCTTATACGCTCAAAGGAAAACTCAACAAAAGAATGGGGAGCATTCAGCTTGTACCAAGGGGGACACAGGATTTTGGACCTGAATAAGAAGCTGCTACCTAACGTGATGTCAGATGGTTTCCCTTGCAGTATTGTGTGATTTTCAGAAAAGGAATAAGCACCAGGATAAGGGTTCCTTTTGAATTGTGAACATACATAGGTTCTCTGCTTCTGGCAAAAATTGCTCCCATGTTTCAATCAGCAACAGAAAAAAGCTTGCATTCAAAACAGATATTACTATATACCTAACTACATTTATACTTACATTATAAAAACACTTTCCCTGATAGAGGGAGTTCCAGAGCCCACTCGGCCAATCTGTTTGAGACAAAACCAGCTACGTGAAGAGCCTGTGGTGGATGTGAATCTGGGCTCTCTCTCCTTACCTTAAGAAAAGGGCACACGTGCTCTGGCCTAACACGTAGTCTGGGACAACTTCACCGAACTCCCACGGCACGTTGCGGACAAACTTCAGAATGGGGTTCCCCCTCTGAGGGCAGAAGAGAATCCAGGGTCACTGGGGAGGGCTTTCAACCTGCCTGTGGTCACAGAAGCAGCCAGGCAGCTCGCTTCTATGGAGCAAGGCAAGAAGCTAGAGTTGCACCTTAAAAGCGTCACCGAGGCATGGGAGTAACACTCTCCAGGCATCCCTGTAGAACGTGGAAGTATCCGATCAAAACAGAAACAGGCAGTGCCTTCTGCTGAAAAATGGGGAGGGATGGGAGTCGGTGACAGGCCGGGCCCGACAGAAAGGCCAATTCCCAGAATTGCCAGCAGTGGCTACGCTGTGTGGGGGATGCTGGGAGATTAAGTCTGCACATCTGAAGAGTGCCCAGGCTGGGGAAAGCCGATCGAGGTGGTCAGCCAGGAACAGGGTAGCTGTGCCCAGTCCTACCACCACAGCTTGCCTTGAAGGACTGGCCTGGTGGCTGCCAAGCCGAGCAGCACCAACTGTCAAAATGGGAGACCGACCAGGGGCGTTCCCTGCTGGCCTGCCTGTTTCCTCTCACCTGCCGGGGGCTGACAATAATACTGCTGTGCTTGGCCCCCGCTTTGGGCGCTGGGTTCAAGGGGGAGCCTCTGTCTTCCGCTGCGCTCCCGGCAGGCCCGGCACTCCCGTCCTGGTCCCGCGGGGGGGCCGCTGCTGCCGCCACCGCGGAGCCGGCGCCGGCGTGCCCAGCAACGCAGCCCGCGTAGGAAGCCCCCCCGGGCGCCGCCGGGG